GAGCAAGTCAGGATGAAACACTAGGGATGTATGTTTCAATATTGGACTGAGGCAAATGGAGGCAGGATCAAGGGAAAAAAAATTCTTGCAATTTCAACTTGATACAGTTTCTTCTGCGGGGGTGGGGGGGGAGTAAGGGTAGTTATGCTTTAAGGTTTTGTTTTTAGTTTTTTTCTCTCTGGTACTTTGCATAATCACCCACGATGGCTTCACTTTAAAGACAAAAGACTAACTTCTCTCACATGTGATAAAACCAGTAATATGTAATTGTTTTTACTTTAATGTTAGTTTTACTTAATTTTAAAGACCACAGAGTAGTTAACACTAAACCATGACTTTGAAGCCACCTAGAAAGATATGCCCTGTGGCTATGTCTCATTTCCGGAGCTAGCCAGCCCTGTATTACCACCTGCATCTATGTTTATAACTTCCTACTGTTACCTTCTGGAGAAGTATTTGAGGCACAATGCTTTTCTTATTACCTTTAGAAAAGTTTTCTATCAGAAGCATCAGGTTAATGTTATGTAACATATACGGACAACTCCCTTTCATAGGAAACTCTTTAGGTTTTATTTCTCTGTTTTAAGCTTTATGACCCATCTAATGCTTTTATTGTGTGCCACTATGATTGATAAGGTGAATCCTACTCAACTAAGGTACTATACAAGATATGATTCAAACCAGACCACCAGAATATTTCCACAGTTTTAATTAAAATTGAATATATGCCTAAAATCCAATGAAAAAGAGCACATTTTTTTTTGTTTTTTTATTTATTTCTGAGAGAAAGAGAGAGGGACAGCATGAGCAGGGAGGGTCAGAGAGAGTAGGAGACACAGAATCTGAAACAGTCTCCAGGCTCTGAGCTGGCTGTCAGCACAGAGGCCGCCGCGGGCTCGAACCCACAAACCGTAAGATCATGACCTGAGCTGAAGTCGGACGCTCAACCAACTGAGCCACCCAGGTGCCCCCGAAAAAGAGCACATTTTATAAAAATGTAAATAAACTGTTACAGAATGGGTGAAATATCCTCAATCCTATCATTCATTATACTGCTCATCCACTTGCTTGCTTGTTCCTTATGAAAATAAGATTCAGGGGCGCCTGGGTGGCTTAGTCAGTTAAGCGTCCGACTTTCGCTTAGGTCATGATCTCGCGGTTCGTGGGTTCGAGCCCCGTGTCGGGCTCTGTGCTGACTGCCAGCTCAGAGCCTGGAGCCTGTTTCAGTCTGTGACTCCCTCTCTCTATGACCCTCCCCTGATCATGCTCTCTCCTAGAAATAAATAAAACATTTTTTTTTTTTATTTCTAGGAGGGAGAGAGAGAGAGAGGGAGAGAGAGAGAGAGAGAGAGACAGCGTGAGCAGGGGAGGGTCAGAGAGAGAGGGAGTCACAGACTGAAACAGGCTCCAGGCTCTGAGCTGGCAGTCAGCACAGAGCCCGACGCGGGGCCCGAACCCGCGAACCGCGAGATCATGACCTAAGCGAAAGTCGGACGCTTAACCGACTAAGCCACCCAGGCGCCCCAAATAAAACATTTTTTAAAAAAAGAAAAAAAGAAAATAAGATTCAGTAATTAAAATGAGTTGGAAGAAAAAGAGTTAACCTTGCTCCAAATCTTCACCTACTTAAAAATGCTTCAGGGGGCACCTGGGTGGCTTAGACAGTTAAGTGTCCAACTCCTGATCTTGGCTCAGGTCATGATCTCATGGTTTGTGAGATCGAGCCCTGTGTCAGGCTTCACGCTGTCAGTGCAGGGCCTGCTTGGGTTTCTCTCTCTCCTTCTCCTTCTGCTCTTCTCCAACTCATACATGCATATGTGTGCTATCTCTCTCTCTCTCTCAAAATAAACATGAAAAAAATTAGAAAAATAAAAACAAAAGTGCTTCATAGTACCAATTACAATGCAAGATAAGCACATAAGCAAAGTATATAAGGATATGTTTTTCGTATTTTTGATAACTGCGAATATTTGCAACAGCACTTTGATCTTGAAGCACTAAAAATTTTTGCTCAATAAAAATCTGATATCCCAACCTGAAACTCATACAGTCTCTGTGACTACTTCAAATTTTGAATTAATAGAGTAGAAGTTAAGGATTATACTTTTCTATTACTTTTTTAACTTTGTGTCTCTACAGAAAACAGTTTTCCAACATTTTCATAACCTAATGAAAATCTCTAGAGGAAAACTTTCCCTTAGTTTCAACTTACTCTCTCCAAATTATACCATTACCAGTGAAAAACAAACAAAAAAGACCCGAATCCACCTAACCTCCTCCCAAAAAACCCTCTCACCCACTGCTTTTTAACATAGTCCTTTGAGGTATTCAAAAAAGATTAACTGAAAAATTACTGAAAAAATTAACTATGCTCTGTAAATACACAGATTTCCTAATATAAATTCAGTCACTGTAATGTATCTAAGAAGGCATACATCGCTAAATAGGGTGAAGAATTTTACAGAATACTACAGTTTCAAAAATGTAGCACCTCTAGTATAACTGCATTTATTAAGTCTCTAGGCATAGATGAGGATAAACTTGAATGTTTGGTTCCTTGGCAATGAGTAACACTGACAAGCTATATATCCATGAACCACCTAACTGTTTAATATGCCAGAATATTTTTAAGAGGACAGTAGTTTATATACTCTATCTCACATAATCCTAATTTTACAGAAAATAAAGCGTGAGAGAGCTTAAGCAAATTATTCTGGGTCACACAGTCAGTGACAATGCCTGGAGGGATCTGAATTAACTTCTGACACATCGCAAAGAAGTACATTATGAAAAAGACTAGTAAATGCAATGAAGTCGTGCAATGAAGCTTGCAAGCTGAAAGGAATCAGAAGACAGGACCAGTAGTTACCTACGTGGCCTTGTGCAACCACCTCTCTGGTTTATGCCTCGGTTTCCTTACTGGAAAATGAAGAAGTGAGGCTACTGAGATACAAACCAATGTTTTAAAAGTTTGTGTACCAAAGGTTGTAAATTTACAAATGGCCAGATTTTCCAATAATCTGAAGTTCTTTCATTTTTCAGAATTCTTAAATTTGGGGGAGCTTGGATGGCTCAGTCAGTTAAGTGTCCCACTCTTCAGCTCAAGTCACGATCTCACAGTTTGTGAGTTTGAGCCCCACCTCTGGCTCTGGTGGCAGCTCAAAGCCTGGAGCCTGCTTTGGATCGTGCCTCTGCCCCTCCCCCACTAATGCTCGGTCTGTCTCTCTCTCTCTCAAAAATAAACAACAACAAAAAAGGGGGGGGTTCCCAGGGTGGCCAGTTGGTTAAGCATCCAGCTTCGGCTCAGGTCATGATCTCATGATCGTGGGTTCGAGCCCCACATTGAGCTCCGTGCTGACAGCTCAGAGCCCAGAGCCTGCTTCAGATTCTGTCTCTCTCTCTCTCTCTGTCTGCCCCTCCCCCCACTCCTATTTTATTTTAAAAAATAAAACATTTTTTAAAAATTAAAAAAGAAAGCTAACTGCAATTCCACGGGCAAATGTATTAAAAAGTACAACTCTCAATACCCACCTTATAATCTGTGATTTTTACTTAGACTCATTTGATTATGAAAAGAATATATTTTAGCCCTTTTATTTCTTAAAATGTTCAAAATTCTTTATGTATAACATCTCCAATCTTTTGGCAACCAGTAGGGTACAACTTACTTTCCAGAAGAGGAAAATCAGATGAAAATTGATTAAATATAAAGCAAACATCTGATGCCAGTCCTTAACTCATGTACTCATCTGGACAGTGGGATTTAGAATTTAAATTATCATTAGGTTATATCACTGATCATCACTTGCCCAGAATCAGCGATTTAGCATGACAAGAATATTTTTGAGCTTCAAGTGCAAGTTGTGATTTTTCAGTAAATTTATCTTGAAAAAGAATGAAGTTTCACAAAGAATAACAATTAGGGTCGCTCAATTGATTAAGCAACCAGACTCTTGATTTCGGCTCAGGTCATGACCTCACCATTTGAGTTTGAGCTCCCTGTCCAGCTCCAAGCTGGAGCCTGATTGGGATTCTCTTTCTCAAAATAAACAAACTTTAAAAAAAAGAAAGAAAGAAAAACAAACTATTAATACAGCAAAGGTAAAAGCAAGCTATGCATTAGGAAAACAATTCTAAATTTAGTCCCTTAAATTACAGCAAGGAAAGCCCTCACACCACCATTCACAAGTCTCAGTTCAAGCAATTTATTTTTGGCAAGCCAAATCACAGCTGTCAACGCTGGTTTTCTTCCACCCCAAAATTACACAAAGTATTCTGAAAAAATTTAGATCATCTTCAACTAGGGGAAAAGTAAGTTGCTAATGCCGTGTGTCGTTATGGATGCTTAAAAAAAAAAGTCACACGGAAGAGGAGGTTAAAAAAAAAAAAAAAGCAAACAAACAAACCCTGGAAGATGCAGCAGAGCCCCCTTGCTCCCGAAATAAAACTCCTGGTGTCTGTAACAGCAGCGGCAGCGCTACTCCCGACAGAAGTTTTCAGCTGTCACTTCTAACAGCTGAGCGCTTCCTAGGAGAGAGCGACAGGCCGAGAAGAGAGGTGGTCGTGGGAGGTCTGAAGGCTTAATACTTGAAACCTTACACTCGAAGGAAAACCCTTCCGCACTTCACCTGCACTTACGGGACACCCAGAAAGCGAACACCCCCTCCCCCCAACATGCGCTTACACCACTCACACACTGAAGTTCAACAGCTCAAGAAATTGACCACGCTCCCTTTTCGTTCACTCCGCAGACTGCTCCGGGCTGCGCTGATGAGGAGTTATGGGCACGACTTGCACCTGCGAGTCCCGGAACGGCCTCACCCCTAGGGCCAGATCCACCCCGCCCGCTCCTCTGACTCGTACCGCGCGGCGCCTACGCTCCTCCAAGAGACTACTCGCGCCCCCTCGGGTCTCTGCGCTCTCGGACGCGCCAGGTTTCCAGGGCCCTTGCCGCCGCCCTGGCCCTGTCACCTCGGGCCCCCCGGGACCCCGGGCCTCACCCCCTCCTCCAGCTCATCCTCAGAGCCCGCATCCTCTGGCTGGTCCAGGTCTATGTCAAACACTCCTGCCATGTCCTCAGCCTCCCTGTCTCGGAAGTCTGGCGTTGGGTAAAAGCCGTCCCGCCTCCGTCGTCGCCTCATGGGCCCGGACCTGCCGCAGCCACCGCCGCTGCTGCCGCCATCACCGGCTGCTTGGGCTTAGTGCGTCTGCGCCTAGGCCCTAGACTGGCTCCTGAAGTTCAGCTCTAGAGCATGCGTACAGGGTTCTATGAAGCCGAACTGTGGGCAATGAACATGCGTAGAGCTATCGCCTGGCGCCAGGTACTGGCAGAAGCATGCGCAGAACCCCAGCCGAAGCCTCTTAGGCTAGCTAGGTCATGCGCATTAGAGGCTAAAGCCTTTGATGGACAAGGAGCATGCGTACCATGTCTGAAGTTAATAAATTGAAATTGAACATGCGTAATTAACCTCTGAATAGGGGGCGGGGGGGTAACCCACAACAAAACTCTTGGTTTATGAACATGCGCATTCGTTCTCCGTAACTTTTTTTATATTGAAAGGGAGCATGCGCATAATGACCGGGTTGGCCCTCTGAAGTTTGAACAGAATCGAAACGGCTGGTTCTGGGTCTGTCAGTGAGTAGGGTTTATGGGGAATTACTGAAGCCAGTGGGGAAAGGGAGAGACTTGGTTTTGGCTATTCGAGTTCAGGGGCCTTGCAAAAGTCACATAACTTTTCAAAGCCTCAGTTTGCTTATATGTAAAATGAGAATAATGATACCTAGTTTGCAGGGTTGTTTGAAAATTTGTACTTACAGTTTGGCTCAAAAGCCACTACTCTTTACAGTGCGCACAGACCTGGTGTGAGGTCTTTACCAAAAATTGTCTTTTCATTGTTAAAAATAGTGAAGACTTACTCTTTTATTTTATCTGGTTCTCCCTTTCCAAGCTTTGTCTTCCTTGCTGTCTACCTGAGATAAACCCAAGTCTTTCTTCTAAGTGTTATTGTAGTTACCAGGCCAGAAGGTGATTCGGGAGAGAAAGTCATTATGTAGAAGAGAGAAAATTAATGTTAATTAAATATACAGTTGTTGAGCTAACTTCTGCGCTCTGTGTGTTCCTGTAGTGTGAAGTATATACTACGAACTCCTTCAACTAGCATTCATTTTATTTTGTTTTGTTTTAAATGCACACTTAGGGAAGTAGTGAATATAAATCAGATTTCAGAAACTATTGAGCTGTCTATGAATGCATTTGGGTACGGTAAATTACAAATCCCAAAACGATGTTGAAAAAGAGAACAACTTCCTTGAATGATTAAGCTGTTTCATCTATAACACCATATACATGGTATTTTAAAATTATACTTTTATTGATGTGTATTAATACATGTGGCATTATATTTGTTCTTTATTTATTAGTAATGTAGTGGCTCTCAACGCCTATGTTTTTCTATTACAGGTTGCTCGTGTTTTTGAAGGAATAGGTCTAGTTTGCATCTCAGCATGTCAGTAGTAACAGTGCAACTTGGTCAGTGTGGCAATCAGATTGGTTTTGAAGTATTTGATGCCCTGTATAATGACTCACACTGTCCGCAGGGACTCTGCTCTAAAAGAGAGAATGAGATATATCAAGCATCTTGCAAAGAAAGATTCTTCAGTGAAGAGGAAAATGGAGGTATGTGTGGTCTACTGTCCTCTCCTTTACTCTGACATAACCAACCTGTTCAAGGCCAAGTCCTCCATGTGGTGTCTGAACCCCATCTCTTTTCATGTTACTAGGGAATGACTTTGCTCTCAGCCCTTTGTTTTTGTGTTAATAACCTTTGCTTCTCCAGTGGCATCTTCCCTCAGCCCGTGAGCATGCTCAGATCTCACCAATCTGAAATCAACCAACCAACCAACTTATGACTATAGCTTTTTTTTTCCCCCCCAGGATTTATTCCCTTTTGGGTGTGGGCACTGCAGGGTGGTACAGAAAGTACAGAAATTTGGAATGAGGATTTGCAATTTTTAAGTAAACTCTACCCCCAACATGGGGCTGGAACTTACAACCCCAAGATCAAGCATCACATGTTCTACCGACTGAGCCAGCCAGATGCCCCAATTTTTTTCCTTCTTATCTCTTTACCTTCTCATCTAAGATTCTCAAAGGAGAACTCTCTTTAACCAACTACAATCCTGCTTCTGCCCTACACCACCACTGAATTGCTCTAAGAAAAAGTTCCCAGTAATCTCCTAATTGCTAGATCCAGTGACTGTTTTTCTATTCTTAATTCACTTAACTTTCTCCTGGATTTTATACCATTAACTGTAAAACTCTCTTCATGAAACTCCTTCTCCTTAATCTTCAAACTTTTTTTTCCCAGTGGTTGCATCTCAGGCTCTCTCTCCTCTGTCCTCACTTACATAGGTCTCTCTGGGCCACTTCAGTTACTATTATAATTTGCTACTTCTGTGACACTAGTGACTCTCAAATCTAGCCTAGTGTCTCTTATGAGCTGAGTATTGCTTAGTGGACATCTCCACCTTCATCCCCCTGTGTACCTCAAACTGATCATCTCCATACCCTAGGGTGTTTGTTATCTTTCCTTTAGAACTTAGGCTCTTTTTGCCCACATACTATCAAACCTAACCATATGCTTAATTTACCTCCTATATATCTCTTCTCCCCTTTCCATCTTCACTGTCACTGGCTTAGTTCTGGCTCTTGCCCTCTCTCACTTGGACTGTTTCAGGACAGTCTTCTGTCAGTGCAGAGCCCACTTTGGATCCTCTGTCTCCCTCTCTCTCTCTCTCTCTCTCTCTCTCTCTCTCTCCCTCTCTCCCCCTCCCCCACTCCTTTTCCTTCTCTCTCTCTCAAAAATAAATAAACATTAAAAATAAAAAACAGTCGGGCGCCCGGGTGGCGTAGTTGGTTAAGCGTCCGACTTTCGCTCGGGTCATGATCTCGCGGTTCATGGGTTCGAGCCCCGCGTCGAGCTCTGTGCTGACTGCCAGCTCAGAGCCTGGAGCCTGTTTCAGTCTGTGACTCCCTCTCTCTCTGACCCTCCCCTGCTCACGCTGTCTCTCTCTCTCTCTCCTAGAAATAAATAAAACGTTAAAAAATAAATAAATAAATAAATAAAAAATAAAAAACAGTCACCTGACAGGGCAACTGACTGGCTCAGTTGGTATAGCATACAACTCTTGATCTCAGGGTTATGAGGTCAAGCCCCGCATTGGGTGTAGACATTACTTTAAAAATAAATAAAAATAAAGAATAAAATAAAATAAAAAGTTGTCTGACTATTCCTCATCTGCTTGAACATTTTCAGCAGTTTCACATTACCTTAAAGATTAATTTCAAGCTTTTTAGCACTGCATACCAGGACTTCCAAGATCTGAGCCTGCCTACTTTCCATCCCCATCCATCACTTCCTCCACCCCCTCCTCCATCTTCTGCTTCAACAATCCTGAGCTGTTTGTTGTGCCCATGGCATTTTATACCTCTGAATGTGCTACTCTACTGTAGATTCATGACGGGTCATATCATATCGTACTGTGATTAAGTTTTATCTCTCCCACTAGTCCTAGGGCTAGATTCATGTAGTCTTCCTCTTTGTGTTCCCAGCACAGTACATGGTACATGGTAAGATCTCAGCAGATATTTGTAGACCTGACCCCGTGATCATGTTAGCCCACACTGATTCATCCTGCTTGGCAGAATACTAGGCATTATGGTGTCCCTGAGTGGCTCACTCAGTTAAGAGACCAACTTCAGCTCAGGTTATGATCTCACAATTTGTGGGTTTGAGCCCCACATTGGGCTCTGAGCTGACAGCTCAGAGCCTTGGAGCCTGCTTCAGATTCTGTGTCTCCCCCTCTCTCTGTCTCTCTCTCAAAACAAATAAACATTAAAAATGGGGAGGTGAGTGGCTCTGTTGGTTAAGCATCTGACTTCGGCTCAGGTCATGATCTCACAGTTCCTGATTTCAAGCCCTGCATCAGGCTCTGTGCTGACAGCTCAGAGCCTTGGAGCCAGCTTCAGATTCTGTGTCTCCCTCTCTCTTTCTCTCTTTCTCTCTCTCCCTCTCTCTCTCTCGAATAAAAAATTCCCCTCTTCCACCCATATTCTCTCTCTCTCTCTCTCTCTCTCTCTCTCTCTCTCATAAAAAACAAAAGTAAAGGAGTGCCTGGGTGGCTCAGTCGGTTAAGTGTCCGACTTCATCTCAGGTCATGATCTCACAGCTTGTGAGTTCGAGCCCTGCATCAGGCTCTGTGCTGACAGACTCTGGAGCCTGCTCCGGATTCTGTGTCTCCCTCTCACTCTGCCCCTCCCCTGCTCACTCTCTGTCTCTGTTTCTGTCTTTCTTCTCTCTCAAATATAAAATAAAACATAGGGGTGCTTGGGTGACTTAGTCGGTTAAGCGTGACTTTGGCTCAAGTCATAATCTCACAGTCCATGAGTTTGAGCCCCAGGTTGGGCTCTGTGCTGACAGCTCAGAGCCTGGAGCCTGCTTCGGATTCTGTATCCCCCTTCTCTCTCTGTCCCTTCCCCATTCATGCTCTGTCTTGCTCTGTCACTCAAAAATAAATAAATGTTTAAAAAGAATTTTAATAAAAATTTAAAAAATAAAACAAAAAATTTTTTAAAAATAAAAAATTTTTTAATTATTTTAATTAAAAAAAAAAAAAGAATGCTAAGCATCTGCATATACCTGCTGCTGCCCACTTCAGTTTCTAAGCAGTATGACAGATCTTTCTATCCTTAATCTTTGGATTTTTGGGAGGTAGGACCTAGAAATTTGTGCTCTGCAAGAAGCCAAATAAGATATATGAAATATTTTTCTTTTGGTTTTCCTCCTCTCTATAGTTCCCATTGCCCGGGCTATACTTGTTGATATGGAACCTAAAGTTATCAATCAAACACTATCAAAGGCTGCCCAGTCTGGCCAATGGAAATATGGCCAGCATTCGTGCTTCTGTCAAAAACAAGGTTCTGGAAACAACTGGGCATATGGGTAAGAGCAACTCCTCATGTTTTTCAGTTTAGATACAGCTACCTGGACAGCATAATTATAGCGGCACAGTTGATATATCACGCACATAATCTTGAAATTGCTGTTTTAGGGGCACCTGGGTGGCTCAGTTGGTTGAGTGTCCAACTTCAGCTCAGGTCATGATCTCACAGTTAATGGGTTCGAGCCCTGCGTCGGGCTTTGTGCTGACACCTATAGCCTGGAGCCTACT